GTATTATATATCTCGACTGTGTTTATAAAATAATATGAAATTAATTGTACGAATACAAGATGAGCGATAATGGAATCGTGCGTAGGCAAGTAGACCGATAAAATAATCGACAAATTGAGCGTTTATTACTGCTTAACTGTAGATTGAAATTGTGATTCAGTAAACCACATGAGAAACTCAGTGTGGACAACGTATGACCATTAAAGTTTAACAGATAAGAATCTGCGTCGTAACAAATGTCCAACTGGAACTGACTAATGTCTGGCAATGGGCTTGAAAAATGTTGAACTAGCTTCATTTAAATGGGATTGTAGGCTTGTACTTGCACATATTTTTCAAGCAAATTCAATCGATGTTTTGTAAGGAATCATTACTCTTATGATATTCAGACTATCATTTACAGAACAATTCTTTACGCTATTTATTATCTTATTTTTACATGCATTCCGATACAATTTTACATATATTATAACGTACATTTATGTACGCGTAACGCCCGTACGCGCGTATTCATGAGCATATAAATAGATATGAATGTATGTAGGGTTTGTGTTTAACGCATATATATGCGTGCGCGTGCGTGCGTGCGTGCGTGCGTGCGTGCGTGTGTATGTTAATATGAATCATGCATTAGATCTTTCATATTTGTATTTTTGAAATACGCATTTGAATTTTAATATCTATTACATAGACGGGTATAGTCAGTCTTTTTTCATAAGAGTAAATATACAATTCCTATATTGTTTTATTTCTAAAAGGTTTAAAAATATTAAAATAACTGTATACAGTCGTGCTCACATTATTTAATGAATTATAACAATAAAGTCGAAATTATAAATATTAACTTATTACGAACTTGCCAATATTTTACTTGTGACACGAAAAGCATAACTTCACATAACTTCAAACAAGTGCTAAAGACATAGTAACTTTATTTGACCAATTTTTATAAACTTATAATATGTATAATATTCATTCATAAATCAATATTTTGTTTCTATCGAAGCTGACATGATATTTTTAAATTAACCACAATTATATTTTTGAGTTTTTTGAAATCAGACTAAAAAGAAAAAAATTACTGGATCAATTTACTTTAAATAATGCCTTTAGGATAAGAAAAACTTGTAGTGTTTGGAAGAAGAATTTTTTTTGTATTTTTTTTGTATATGATAGCCCAGTGGTTTTTTTTTTTTTTTTTTTTTTTTTTTTTTTTTTTTTTTTTTTAATGAAAATTGGTAATTTAAATTTAAAAGAATTTCTTCTTCCTTTTGGAAATTAAAACTTTTGAACACGCTAAAGTCAACGGCCATACATTTTAATACGTAAGCCAATGTTTTTGAAATTTCTCGTTTCCAGCAGTGCAATTATTATGAATATTATCATTTTACCTTAACGTGATGTTCGTTATAAATTATATTAGCTTGAGATTCGCGTGTAGTTGTATCTACATAGAGACATATACACATATGTACGTTATTTTTAATTATTCATAACTATCTATGATATTTAAATAGATAATCATAATAGAAAGGAGACATTTTGTATTTTATAACATAAGGAAGAATTTTCTTTTTTTATGTGTATTTTTAAATGCAATATTTTAATTAAAACTGTCATTTAAAATTATTTCCCAGTATAAAAAATAATTATATCATTTTCAGAGAGTAGTAAATTAATTTTTTAAAATATAAAGCATTTTCACGATAATTAATCTATTTATTATTTCAGGTACATGAGACAATGTATCGGTTGCTTTATACTTGTATGTAAGGATGCATGATTATATGTTACTTTTGTTTTTAGTAACTCCTTATTAATTTCTTGAATAGAATATTTATAAACAAGTTTTTATGAATAAGCAATAATGAAATACTTAATCTCTTTCAACTTGAAAGTTTGAAATACATGGAAGCGGATAATTAAATGTATTTAATATAATGAAATAAATTATAATTTTGCAATTTTACGAAATATTACATTGCATATTGCGAATATACACTATTCAATGTAAAGAAATAATTAATGTCGTTTAAAAACATTGGGCGTGTACATTTTCAATAAGCATCTCAATAGTAAGTATGATGGATTGAATAACAATTTCTGTCAGTTAAATTGTCGTATACAATAATGTGACAATAAAAAACAAATGAGCTTTTGTTACTGTATGATGTGCTTAGTAGGTAATGCTGATAAATTAATATTTTTCTTATGAATAATTATCCTACAATACGTTTATTTACATCCCTGCATTTACAACAACCAATTTATTATGAAATATGTACTTTACAATGATGAATAAATAATTAATTAATATATAAATTGTGAAATAAATCTGTATATTTTGCCCTCACCTTATCGTCCCAACGCACAATAACGATCTGCATTATTTAAAAAGATATTTGTGAAAGAAATTTAATGATATACAAATTGATTGCAACGTTTTGTTGTCATGTTTTTGTGCATCGAGCGTTTTATAAATCATGTATAAAAACTGAACCATTGTAGACTTTATGAAATATAGCTATCGCTTTTAAATTAATGTGAGAATTAATTAACTTCTCATTTTCTCTGTCTCTCTCTCTCTCTCTCTCTCTCTCTCTCTCTGTCGGTCTGTCTGTCTCTCTGTCTCTCTGTCTCTCTGTCTCTCTGTCTCTCTGTCTCTCTGTCTCTCTGTCTCTCTGTCTCTCTGTCTCTCTGTCTCTCTGTCTCTCTGTCTCTCTGTCTCTCTGTCTCTCTGTCTCTCTGTCTCTCTGTCTCTCTGTCTCTCTGTCTCTCTGTCTCTCTGTCTCTCTGTCTCTCTGTCTCTCTGTCTCTCTGTCTCTCTGTCTCTCTGTCTCTCTGTCTCTCTGTCTCTCTGTCTCTCTGTCTCTCTGTCTCTCTGTCTCTCTGTCTCTCTGTCTCTCTGTCTCTCTGTCTCTCTGTCTCTCTGTCTCTCTGTCTCTCTGTCTCTCTGTCTCTCTGTCTCTCTGTCTCTCTGTCTCTCTGTCTCTCTGTCTCTCTGTCTCTCTGTCTCTCTGTCTCTCTGTCTCTCTGTCTCTCTGTCTCTCTGTCTCTCTGTCTCTCTGTCTCTCTGTCTCTCTGTCTCTCTGTCTCTCTGTCTCTCTGTCTCTCTGTCTCTCTGTCTCTCTGTCTCTCTGTCTCTCTGTCTCTCTGTCTCTCAGTCTCTGTCTATCTCTCTCTCTCTTTCTCTCTCTCTTTCTCTCTCTCTCTCTCTCTCTCTCCCTTCTCAAGACTATCACCTGCAAAATGATTCTTGAGAACCAAAATATAATGTTTCAAGTAGATCAAAATACATAAGTACAAAATTATCATTAGTATTATTAGTTGAATAAATAATTGCTGAAGCCATTTGATATGCAATTAGAAAAATAAATAATTAATATATTCGTCGTAATAAAAAATGGAGAAAACACAAACTTGACGCGAATGAAAAATGAGTGAACTAAAAAAAACAAATTTTTTGAAAAAAAAAATAAGAAGTGAACAAAACCACCTTTTTCAAGTATTATTCAAGCCAAAAGGTGCTTCTTGACGAAAAGGAAAAAGTATCGAATCCTCGCTCCAGCAACAAACCCTCTACTACTTTATACGAATTCCAAATCGGAGTCAGGGCTTGCCGATGCTCATGCAAAGGCAATTATAAATCCGAAAATGAGAAATAAATTCCCAGCGCAAAATCAGATTAGTCCCGTCGCCTCATCTTCAATCTCTCGTTTCTTTTCCTTCTCTCTCTCTCTCTCTCTCCTTTCAAGCATCCCTGAAGCTTTTCTCCCAGTTCTGCACCTTCGGCGAAGACAGAATAAGATGGACAGGCAGATAGGTGAATATATATATATATATATATATATATATATATATATATATATATGGGTGCGAGTATGTGTAGGAAAGAACAGTATATATTAGAGAGGCAAAGGATGAGAAGGAGAAGGAGAGAGAGAGAGAGAGAGAGAGAGAGAGAGAGAGACCAGAGGCAGATAAAATGAGAGAATCGTTGACTTAAAGCATCTTCTCGTCCCCTGGCAATCGTAAACGGGGATCAGGGACTGTGTCGGACTCCTCGTACATTTGTGCCTTTATAGGGGTGGGGAAGGGGGGAGGGAGGATACATGCGGTTGCAGACGGGGTGGCCCAACTTTCGGATGCTCGGTATAAACTTTATTTCATGGCTATACGTTGACTGAAAATTCGAGTTACGCATTTATGCAGGATGCCGAGGATTTTTATTGTCGCGAATCGATTATTTGATAATTGTGACGTTACTCATCTCGAGCGATTAAATCGTCCTATCGGTCGACTCGGATTTGTTACAGAAATTTTATTATTAGGCCTTCTTTTTTATGCAGATCCAATACCGTCTGCACTATATCTTTCACGTCGACGCTTGCAAGGTTTGACGAAAAACAGAGCGCACGCTATTCATTGGGAAGGACGCGAAACAACGGAGGAGAAGCGTAATTGTCGTCCCGTACCGTCAATCTTGCTAATTAAATAGGCCAAAATAATAGTATGGTATTATCAAATGGGCCGAACTCTTTATCCCGTGGTAAAGAGTTGATTATACGAGCGGAAGCTTAATACGTCCGCGAGTGTGCGAATTTGCGCCACTCGCCTCGATGACCGTCGTCCCGGTAATTTAAGCCGCGGTGAAAAAAAAAGATGCGGCTACCGCAGCATCCGAATCGCGGTAGATAAGCCGCCGCACCGTGGGCACTGTTATCGTTAAGCATTGGCTAATTCGACAGGGTCTCAGTCCCGTCACCCCCGGAATGAACGCGAGTGCCCGACGGATCGTCGGACGGGGCGACGGGACGGGAGGGAGGAAGGCAACGAGGCCGACGCTGGGAGAAAAAAGGCGGAGGCGAAGGGGCCCGCGGCGAGGCCCGTTTCGTTCGACGCCAGGAAGGCGCGACAATAACGCGCGCGGCATTTCTCTTCGGCCCCGGTCGAACCGGATTTCGGTATTAAAGTCCCTCGGCAAGGGCCTCGCCACCAACTCCCCCTCTCCCCTGCGGTATCCTCATCGCCGTTCTCGCCCTCGCCCTCGCCCTCGTCCTCGCCCTCGCCCGCGCCCTCACCCTGACCCTCGTCCTCGTCCACGTTCTCGTCCTCGTCCTCGTTCTCGTTCTCGTTCTCGTTCTCGTTCTCGTTCTCGTTCTCGTTCTCGTTCTCGTCCTTATCCTCGTTCTCGTCCTCGTTCTCGTCCTCGTTCTCGTCCTCATCCTCATCCTCGGTCTCATCCACAAGCTCCTTCTCCTCCTCCTCCTCCTCCTCCTTCTCATCCTCCTTCACTACCGGCTCGTCTCCTCAATCCTTTTTCTGCGCTCTGACTCCCTCCTGAGATCGGTCGCCTTCCTCTTCTGCAAAGAGCTCACGCGAGGCGAGAAAAAAAGCGGAGGAAGGTGGCGAGCCGAGCGGGGCCTCGTCCTCCTCCTCTGCCTCCTCCCACGAACACGGAGATCGAGAGAAGGAACATGACAATGGGCATTGGGAGAAGGATACATCGCGCTTAGGATTTCTTCTCACAGCAACGCCCCTGCCATTCGACTTGATCTGGGAGTGACTTTTCACTCTCGCGCCAACCGCAATAAATGAGATAAGCTTATGGCATCGATCTGCAATTATATCGTGTAATTGAACGTGGGTAATGGGGGTGGCGGTGGCGGTGGCGATGGTCGAGGTAGAGAATTTCGGCTTCTGATTGCTCAGTGAATGAACTCTGTGTGTGTGGGCGGGGGAGGGGGGAGGGGGGGGGGGGGGGGCAATAAGTTTTGGAGGGGGGGGTCAATAATTTTTGGAAGATGCATTTCGATATCGCATGGAATTGAGAGGGACGTTTAATGTCGAAGATTAACGGTCGCCGTACCAAATTGAAAAACGTCGGCGGCAAGAAATCCACAACATTGTACGATTTCCCGTCATCGCTCCCTCGATTACAATAAGAGCACCGCTTCCGATTATTTATTCGTTTTATCTTTCATGTCCCGTATGTGCGGTCCCGTATGACGGGATTTGCGATAAATGACGGAACATTTAACCGAGGAGGAGGAGACGTCGAATAGCCAATACCAGTCGCCGAGCCGAAGTAGCTTATGCAGCAGTGATCGATGATAGATCTCTTCGATAACCGATGCAGAATTCGTAAAACCACGCTCAATCGATAGCCAAACTCGTGATATTAATTCGGATTAAGATTTCCTCGAATGATGACGTTCGTCAAGCTTGCGATTAATGGTAAAAATTTCGGTATTTTTAGGTTTCATAAATATTCAAATGAAAAATTATCGCGCTTATCTCGTTATTGATGTTTCCTGGAAGATTAATAATTTTGGGCAACCGACGCGCACGGGAGATTGTTGGTGGCAGCATTGACTCGGGGCATTGAAAGAGGCAAAGAAAAGATTGGTTTCGGTAATAACAGTGCCGCCGCATCGATCACATAACGCAGCTACGTACGAGGATACGTAATCCGGTGAAGAAAAAAGGGCCCGATGAATGGGAAAGACGTAGAAACGTAGAGATATAGAGGGCCGAATCGGAGTCGAGTGGAGGACTCACCAGTCCAGAAGAGTGAGACTCGCCGCCGCTGCCAGCGTGGCGATGAAGAGGAGGCCTCGAAGAGCTACGTAATGCGGTCCATATCGAATGCGGCTGCGGAAAGGCCTGGAAAGGGCGGCGAGGAGAGGTAGAGGATTATTGGGACGAGGGCCCCTCCTCCCTCCTTGACTCCACGGGGCGGGGAGGAACGATAAAGGTGGCGGTTAGCGGCGAAGAGGTAGGCCCGGCAGGGCGAGAGGGTCGGCGGGGCGAGAGGGACGACGAGGAGAAGGATGAGAAGGTGAAGATGGAGGAGGAGGAGGAGGAGGAGGAGGAAGAGGAAGAGGTGGAGGCTGCAAGAGGGCCCGGAAAATATTCGTAAGAGGTCGGGAATTAGAAGTATATTTGACTGGACGTTGGCTACGAGTGGATTCTCCTAGGCATAAAAGAGCCTCGGAAATGCCGGTCCGAGACCCGGGGCCCCACGTGCATGTGTGCACGTAACGCGCCGTGGCCTCCTTGCCTTCTTCGCCCGGCGGCAACTTTTTTTCTCTTCATTTTTCACGCGGTGCGAGGACGAGTGGTCCAGGGCCGTAATCACGGCCGACGCACCCGGAGTGTAATTCACTTCCTCCACCTCCTACACCCCCTCCTCCTCCTCCTCCTCCACTTCCTCCTCATCCATTTCCTCCTCCTCCACCTCCTCATCAATCTCCTCCTCCTCCATTTCCTCCTCATCTATCTCCTCCTTCTCCACCTCCTCATCCATCTCCTCATTCACCAACTTCTCCTTATCACTCCGCCTCACAACTGTCCACGGATTTTCGCGTGTCCGGAGTGGCGAGGCCAGGGCGCAATATCGCCGTTTAACGACCCTCGTTCTTGAATCACGAATGCCAAGTTTTGAGAACGAACGATGAGATTTCCAAAAATTTTCAATAATTTCCTATTTACTTTTTATATTTCTTAGCAATAGTCGATTATTAATCGCCGAAGCATTGTTCGCGTTAGCTGCAACTACACTGGCATTCGATATACTTTAACGGAATATCATCTCGTGAAGAATATTAGATTTGACCGTAGGGACTTTAAGCGAAAGCTGACTCTCAAACAACGTTACGCAAACCTTAACTTTAACTGACAAATGAACATCACGAGACAAATACGCTCAATCATACGACAAATTAATAATGTGTCGGTTTGGAAGAGTCGATGAATATATCGTACGACGACAGTACAGCGACAATTAGAAATTTAGCTTTAAAAATGTAAGTCGAACGAACAATCAGCGTCCCCGGCCGAAACTCTATATGTGTCGGATTATAATATTTCATAAGCCTTCGTAATGCTCGTACTATTCCGAGGCGAAGCGATATGTAATGGCAAAACAAAAAAAAAACAAAAAAAAAACAAAAAAACGAGGAAACAAAAAAACAAAAAACCAAAAAATCAAAAAGGAAAAAAAGAGAAAGAAAAAGAAAATAAGAAGAAGAAGAAGAAGAAGAAGAAGAAGAAAACGAGAAAAAACAAGAAACAACCGAAGAGAAAGAAATGGATAAAGAAAGACAAAATAGAATGAGAGAGGAAAAGAAAAAACCGGACGCTCTCGTGTCTAAGGCTGTGAAGGCGTCGACGGTGAAAAGTCCAATGGAGATAAAGAATAAAATAAAAAGAAGAGAAGGAAAAAAAGAAAAGAAAAAGAAAAGGAAGGCAGATCGAGGCGTCGCGCACGCCTTCGAGGGAGACTGACGGGCGAGAAAAGCGAGGCGAAAGGGACAAAGGCAGAGGTAGGTGAGGGCCTAAGGGACAAGTGCTACGGGGCCCTTACGCAAGAGGCCGCGTTTCGCGCACAGAGGCGGGCCTGTTTCGTGCTCTCGAGAGGCGTCCTGGATGGCGTCGGTGTCGGTCTCGGCCGAGAAACAAAAACTAAGCAGCGGAGTATCTCAAGCGGCCGTTCCGCGAATTCGCCATCCCTGGCGCGAAAACTCCTAATTTCGGCCTCCCATTTCTCGCCTTGGCAATCTCGTCGATTGGTAATTGACACGGGGACGAGGGGGCCTTTATGAATATCGCTTTTACGCGATGCGCGAGCCCGCAATATACGCGTGGACGAGGCCACACCCGCACCCACGAGTCCCGATGATTTTGCTCGTCCGTTGCTAGATCGATGGCCGCGTTCGATTGTTCGCACGTGTGCTCCGTTAAGCGGGTTCTCAAAGCAAAGCGACGGACATTGCGTGCGCCATTGTGATCGAAGTCGAGCCAGCCTCCAAATGTCTGGTTCGCTTGCGCGTGTGCGTGCGCGTAACGGCCATAGTATCGTTGCAAGAAACGTCTGAATTTTCTTTATTCGATCCCATTAGCCGTTAGCTCTGTTACTTTGTAGCCAATGAGGCGCGCGAGCATTCTTAATTATTGTCTTTAAATTATTTATTATGCTATTCGTTTTATGCGATTGACCATAATTTAAGCGAAATTTCATTTTTTCGATTACCGAGATAAGATCGTAAAATATTGAAAAGGGCAATATTTTCATTGGTAATGAACTATTAGAGGCGAGTCTTCAATTTTTGCTCCCTATCGCTTCATCTTTAAATAAAATGCTCCTCTCGAAATTTAATCGAAATTTATGTTGTAGAGTCGTGATGTAATTCTCTTTTCGACTTATTTCTTTCCAGTAAAAGTGAATACGCACTTACAATTAGGTAACAGTATATCCAATTTGCGTATAGAATTTCTCATTACGATCTCAAATGAAAAAATATCTCTAGTTATAAGATAATAAGAATTAAGAACCTTTTCCCCCTACATCATTCGTCCAGTATAATATGAAGTATATATATATATATATATATATATATAGGGGAGGTGTGGTGGTGGTTAGCGGTAGGTGGTTAGCGGTAGGTGGTTGGTGGTAGGTGGTAGCCGATGACATGAATTATTATTCGAAAATAGTTGAATTGAGAAAATGTTAAGGTCGAGCGAAGTAATAATACTGAATAGCAATGAAAATTATTATTTGAAAGTGTCGTTTGTTCATAATAAAGCGTATTGATATATTTTCTATAAAGTTCATTGTCCTTCAAAGGAAATCCAAAGCTCTACTTTGCGTCGAATTAACGCTTTCATCAGACTTTGAAAAATATATTAAAAATCATTGTTGTGCACGTACGCATATAGTTTCGATGTGCATATACACGGGCAGGGCCATGCACGCATACACGGGCGCACGAAAATGTATGGAATCGCGTGAAATGCTCGAGGCTTGTGAGAGGTGCTAATTGCAAGGTGCCTTATAATTTTTTATGCAAATGGCTGAGAAAAATAGCGGAGAACACTACAACCGTCACTGCTAACATTAATTTAACGCTATGTTAGTTTAAAGAGGAAACATTAAATGCTCGACGAACGTATATGTGCTAAGAGTCATTTTTATTTATCGATATGTGACTCAAGGCTGTCGAATGATTGTCTGCCGAGTAGTGGTGGGCAACACTAGTATAATAGAGCAGCAGCAGCAACAGCAACAGCAACAGCAACAGCAACAGCAGCAGCAGCAGCAGCAGCAGCGGCAGCAGTAGTAGTAGTAGTGGTAGTAGGAATTCGATTGATAAAAGCAGGCAAGTGCAAATGTACACGCTAATGATGACGCAGCGTGCGAGTGCAATGCGTATCGATATCTTTTCACTAAATGAATTACCAGTCGATGAAGATAATACACTTTTCAAGGGGCGGACAAGTATCGTATGGCGCAAGTTTGACAAAGCACTCGGAGTTATTTAGAGTGGTAATCGAGCGTAAGGGTAACGAGCGGAGCTGACGTAGCCCATAGCCGGTTAAAAATGAGCGCAGGAATGGTTTTATCGGGCCCAGATTCGGGTGTGAATCGACGCAGCCCCGTATACATTTTACGATCGATCAAAGGAAGCCGGCGACCGCAGGATCCTCGACCTCTCGGCCCCGTTCTTCTCCGTCGAGCATATTAAATTCCTTGTATCTTCCCGATACTGATTATACGGCGCTGCGCTTCATGACGTTTCTTACGCAACGCGTACGGGAGTTTTTGTTTTAATCGGCAATCCCGGTCTATTCCATGGTTTTTATTCTTGGGCCGGTATCTTTGTCGCACCTCGTTGAGACGTAATTCGTGTCGCGATAGCGGGCAACGATAGCAGTGTAATACAGTGTACATGCACGATTCGTCGCAAATTGAGCCGATAATGTTGACATTATTATTCGATGACGCTCGGCATTGTGGATTATCGGTACGATAAGGATGGGATAAAGGAAGAGACGAGAGTGGAGGAGTCGCGTGTGGCGTTGGCCTATTATTTATCATTTATTTAGCTAAGCGAGCTCGTTGCTGTTACTGAAGAGCGAGTCTTCTTGTCCGTTGACAAAATTCCCATCGATATCCACGTTATCCTGTAATCTCGGTGATCCGTGCGTCGAGAATGTTAGGGTACCATTGCCGTAAGAGAGGCTGTAACGATGCTCGTCAATAATTTTCGTATACGCGTTGGGCTTGATCTCGGCGCACAATGTTGCTTTGGGCGAAGGATCGGGTCCGACGGTGAGAAATAAGATATAAATTGGACAAACGTACCGCGTTCGAGTCCTTGGAGCTTCGATATAAAAAAAAAAATGGTTTTTTGGATAGGAGGATGAGCTTAGAACTGTGAGAAAATGGAGCCACAAAATAGACGCAAAGTAGAATTATTCAAGAAGCGATTTCAGTAATATAGCGCAACGAAAATGACGACTCGTGAAAATACAAAAAAAAAAAATAAAAAAAAATAAAAAAAAATAATAAAAAAAAAAAACATAAGGAAGAAAAGAAAAGAAAGGAAAGGAAAAAAGAGGACAAGAAGAAGATGAAGACGAGGGAAAATGTCTATTTGTAGTTTCTTAATCCTCGGCATTGTAGGCTCGAGGGGAAAAGCTTGGAAAATCGTGGTGTATTCGAACGAGCGAAAGAGAGGTTAGTTTAGAGGTGAGAGTGGGAGGATTGGGTGAGACATCGCGCGTTCCAAGCTCCCGTGTCACGTAAAATAATGTGCCGTCGTCGCGACCCTTGGACGCGCGAGTTTAAGCTTCAACGAACCAAGTAATATTAATTTTGAGGCGTGGCATTCCACGACGTCGTTTAAGCGTCCTATCGTATGCGGAGATTAAAGCTACGCGCCAATAGTTACTATTTGTACGTCATTTCGCTAAAATAGCCATTTATCTCGACAAGCACTTGCGAGATTTATAAATGACTAGAGATGGCGGAGGGATGGAG